TTATAATTATTATATACAAAATTACTCTGTTTGGTAACTTCAAATTTTTGTAAACAAAATGTGACATCTAATTTAACAATGACACAATCACATTTTTTGCTACCGGTATTTTAATTGTAGCTTTCTCTGGACCGTATTATAAATTTTACTAATTAGAAGGTAAGCTTTTTGCAAATAACTTTTAAGTGACTATTCCAAATGAAACGAAATTCTACACAAAAGTACAACTCTAATACAACTTTTGTATAAAATTATTTGGGGAGATAATATTTGATCCTTTCAAAATTTACATGTGATTTCCTATGTCCCGGGTTCCGATATTCCGAGTATTCCGGTATAATATAAATATTTGCAGTTCGTTTATTTTTTCGATCTTTTCTTTGTAATTCTATACAGGGTGTCCCAGGCTGAGCGTGCATTAGAAGTTTCTAGAGAACTATAACATCTAGCTCGGAGATTTTTTGCACATGATAGTTTTACAACGAGATCTATCGATTAAAAATATTTTCAATATGGCGGCACTTCCGGAAATATCGGAAGTTGACAGCAACTTTCATATTTTAAATGGGTGCCTCCATTTTTTATTATGTATTTAAGTTCTCTGTAAAATTTTATGAATTTCCATATTAAATACTCTAACATTAACCGTTTTTGAGGAAAAAATTATTTAAAATTTTTGAAAAAATCTGCTTGTCAAAAATATGTGTCTAGCCTAAACGTCAAATTTAGTGATTACCACAGCTACTGTGCCATAAAAAGGAAACATGTGGCTATCTTTTTAAAATATTAATGGTGTATTCCGTTGCTTACCTTGGTTATGGTTTTATATTCCGTTTCAATCGGTTTCCTGAAAGTTTTCTTATTACGGAACACGGTTCCTGAAAAATTCGGTTATAACTGTCACTAAACTAACCAGCGCGAGAAGGCTGGTTTTTCTAGTTTTGTTTGTCAATAAATTTCATTTATGTGACAAATCAAGCAAATATTGGAAGTTCGAGTGGAACATCCCAAAGCAATGGAGGTAGGCGGTAAAGGTAAATAAATTTCATTATTTACTTTCTTATTCTTTTCATTATTTCATTTCAACTAAATAGAATGACTTTTTAGGACCATTTAAACTCATCATGCAGCCATTGTTTCTTAAAGTCAGGAACATTTAAAGAAAACATGAAAAACAAGACAACAAGTAATCGTGAATGTTTTGTAAGCTAATAAAATATAAATATTGATTAGATTTGTTTATTTATTATTGATCTGTTTTAATATTGGACCTACAAATCTTCACTTGAGCTGTCTAACGAGTTTAACAGTTTATTAATAAAGTACTTTTCAATATTAAACTCCATTGAAAAGAAGGAGCAAACGTAAAAGCAGAGAATAGGTACATTAAAAATGCATAAAAGGTAAATTTTATAATAGAGGTATTGAAATTTAGAAAACGTCAACATTTGACGTTTCCAGTATTTACCAAACCGTTCCCTATCAAACCGATGTTTTTCAGGAACCGCTCTTTACCGTAACCTACCGGTCTGGTTCGCCTGGTTTTGCAACGGAATACAGCCTACATTATATAATAATGGCCGCAGCTGTCATAGAATTGAGCGATTAAAAAATTATCATAAATCATTTTTTTTCAAATGGAAACCCACTTTTTTATTTCACTAGTGAAAAGGCTTTTCGATTCGTTACTTTTTAACTATACAGGTTCCTATACCTAAGATTTAGTTTTAAACCGTATATTTTTCTTGATTTTAACCAGTAGTCTATGACTTTAAACATCAAGTGATGTAAAACACTAGATCTGGCTATGTCATATTTTGACGCTTTGTTCAAAAAGCAGCATCATTTTCGAGCCAACTTTGCGCTGTTTTTTTTTCGATCATACGGAATATTAATAATATCAGCTATAAGATATCACTAAAGAGCGAAAATACGAGATATATTTTTATAAATACACTTTTTAAACTCTTAATCGCAGGCAGTATTTGTACTATAGGAAATTCAAATAATTCGTTTTCTGACAGATGGGATTAAATTGTTTGACACTTAAGGTCAAAGGAAGCTAGATAAAATCAAGAAAAATATACGTTTTCTAACTCAATCTTAAATAACTTAAAAATGATTTATTTTAGGTATAGGAACATGCATAGTTAAAAAGCAACAAATTGAAAAACCGTTATATTAGTGGAATAAAAAAACTGGGTTTCCATTTGAAAATAATGATTTATGATAATTTTTTAATCCCTCATTTTCATGACAGCTACCGCCATTATTATATAACATTTCAACAAGTTAATTTTTGAAATAGATAGCCACATGTCTTCTCTTTATGTCACAGTGGCTGTGGTAATCACTAAATTTGACTTTTAGGCTATACAAATTTTCTTGACAGGTAGTTTTTTTCGTCCACAAATTTTAAATAATGTTTTTCTCAAAAACGGTAAGTGTTAGATATAGTTGGTATAGTACATAATAAAAAATGGGGGCACCCATTTAAAATAAGAAAGTTGCTGTCAACTTCCGGTATTTCCGGAAGTACCGCCATATTGAAAATATTTTTAATCGATAGATCTCGTTGTAAAACAATGATGTGCAAAAAATCTCCGATCTAGTCTGTGGTTCTAATCTGTGGTTCTCTAGAAACTTCTAATGCACGCTCAGCCTGGGACACCCTGTATAGTTTGTCTACCAAAACAAAAAAAACTAAATAGGATAAAGATGGAATAATTCCTATACATCTGTTTTTCGAATCATAAATTATAGTCTAGAGTTTAGATAGTAAAACTTTTCTTCGTAAAACTTTTTCTATTCTATATTTAATTGTAATAACAGTATACTTGTTGTAACAACGAAAATACAGAATAATTTATTAAATGCACATAATATGAATATGTAACAACTCATAACGTAATTGAGTCACTAGTTTAAAGTACCATATTCGCATTAATGATGGATATCATATTGAGGAGCGTCCATTTTTCAATCGATTTCTATAAATTATTAGCTTATTATGGACGCGGCTGAGTTTGGCCATTGCGAAGGTCTCACGTTTATCAATATTTTAATTAAAAATTTTCTTTTCGTGACGTCAAGTCTAAGGTTAATATAATTCCATATCTCGTTTTTCCACTTTTTATTTCACACTTGACGTTTTTTTCGTGTAAATTACATAAAGCTATTAATAAACAATTATTGATAAATTACTTTTACAATATTAGTCATTAGGTCAGCAACATTAAAGTCATTATGGTTAAATATTTTCCATGAAACTAGTATTGTCGCAAAAAAATAGATATTTATTTATTAATTAATATAATATGGATTTATGTATATTTAGCAAAAGGTGATAAAGCACAAGAATTAAATATAATTTTAGATACAAAAATATAAACAAACACAAACATCAATAATTATTAAATGCGGAGCGATCAATAATGACTGAAATAGTCGGCTATCCTGATTTTATTCGTTTGGTTGGCATAAAAAAACGAGATTTGGTATGTTAGTATATGACATAAATTATTGAGTGATTGATTGACGTATTCTATTGTTTTAGGTCACTTCCTGTTTCACCGTAAACTACAACTTCTAATTTTTAAATGGCACCTTTGGTATTTTTTTACTCTATTCGATAGAAAATGACACTCTGAAGACATATGAATTTCAACTTTTGACATTCTCCCTTAAAAAATCGTACTTTAAATTTCAATCTCGAGTATTTTCAATCTCAGGCTGTATTAAAAACACTAATTTTTAATCAAGAACCCTTGGAAAAACAGATTTGATCGTTTAATATTTTTAGTCTCTTTTCCTGGCCGGTTAAAAGATGCCCAAATTGTTGTTTTATGATCTGTTGTGTTTGTTTTTGTATATTTTGTATTATATACTCGTGTTAACTTTAAGAATTTATTGACTATTCCTATACAATTGTACATTGTTTTATGGAAATAAATAAATGATTGATTGATTGAATAATAACTAAATTTTTTCAAATAGAACGAGGGTCGCTCATTAGCATATTTAGAAAAAGCATTTTTTACGCATAATTTGGTACCACACACTTGGTATTTCAAGTTTCGAGTCAAATTGTCGTTGAACGGAATGTTACAATTTCAAATAAACCATATGCGGAAATGTCAAAATTGCACATATGGTATGTCATTCTATTCAGAGTGTCATTTTCTATCGAATATATTACAAATATACCAAGGATGCCATTTAAAAATCAAAAATTGTAGTCATTTTCGGTGAAACATCAATAATTTATGTCATATACTAAACAATAACATAACAAATCTTTTTTTTTATCTGAGAAAATAAAAAAGTTATGGGGGTGAGCCACGTTTGAAACCCACCCCGGTATAATATCTTTTTTTCGGAAATTTTCAAAGTAAAATAACTCAGTTTTCGACTTATTTGAAAAACGACAAAGAGAAAATATGTTTCTTTTATCGAGATCTACCATCCTTTAAAATACTTGCACTTATTTCTGGGACACCCTGTATAATTCTATATTTTAGTTCCGTTACTATTTATTTCCTTCGACTTTTTTTTGCACAAATTACTTAATGCAATTAATAACCGATTAATTTTTTCTTTTGTTTTTATGTACCTTTTTAATTTCTTATTAGTCATCAAGTGAGACATTGGCGTCATTATTAATAATTTTATATAAAAAATATTGTTATAGTGTTTTATTAATTTTTATTAACTATTGAAAGGTACTTTGAAAGTTGTATATTTGATAAAACTAATAAAAATGTCAGCTAAAAGTTGTTTTAGAATATCGAATAAACTATCTGTTAAATATTTTCTTACAAATTAGCATTAAAACTTAAAGTTTCCAGACACAAATTAAAATGAAATATAAAATGTATTTATTGTACCTATATTATCAAACTTTTTGTATTGTAATGATTTCAATGTTATTGTTTGAAATAAAATTATTTATATAAAATATTCAAAAATAACTGTATCTAATTAATGTTATTTTTTTGCAGATATGACATTAGTTCAGCCGTCACCTGATATGCAGGTTCATATCAGGAAAGCCCTCAACGAAGACGTTTCAACAAGAGAATCAGATCTACAGCATATCAAAGAATGGTTATTGAAACAGCCCCACTTACCTGACACATGGGGTAATAATTATTTTTTATGTTGTTTTAACAAATACATATTGTAATTTGCTAAGCAAAAGAATAACTATTAGGTATACTTTGACCAGATATACGACATTTCATATACAGGGTATACAGAATATCTCATCGATCTTCGTTTCTAAGGCAACTTGACGAATTTTTGCATCATATATCGCACAAGTGACAAGTTGAATAAAAACTAAATTATTCTACACTCAGATGCAAAAAAAAAACGTAAAAAGTTTTGGTCAAGCTTAAAATGTTATATTTTTTTATTTTTATTTTTATTTTTATTTTTATAAATACATATATCAAATTTAATAAAAACTCAGTTTATTTTAAACTTTACTATTTGACTTATTATAACTTAATCGAAGAGTTGTGAGTTGTTTTTAAGTGCAAAATAAACATGCCACAAACATTTTGCAATGTTTATTTTATTATTTTTGGCGCTTACATGTGTTTCATAAACCTGCAGAAAGCATTTGATCGGGTTCAATCAGAAGATTACATTTACTTTATGACAGACAAATATCCCATAACTTAATTAAAGTCATAGAAAATATACAGTGCTGACAAAATCCAGGCTAATATCCACGGGTATCTTACTGAACCAGTACCTTTAGAGAAAGGCATACGACAAGGCGATTCATTAAGTACACTTCTTTTTAATATAATCATGGACGAAATAATCAAACAAGTGCGCCATTTAAATGGATGCAAAATGGGAAACCGCAATATGACAATTCTATGTTATTCCTACGGCACTGTGCTATTCGCAGAAAATGAAGACGACCTCCAAAGACTAGTATATCGCTTCAATCTAGTAGCAAAATCTTATAAGATGATAATCTCTGCATCCAAAACAAAGAGCCTGACAACATCAAAAATACCTATCAGATGCAAGATTGTCATAGATAACACAATAATACAGCAACAAATGAAATTTAAATATCTCGGTATAGAGTTATCCGGTTATGGCGATATCGAAACAGAGGTAGGACAACAAACAGCAAAAGCAACGAGAGTGGCTGGATGTCTGAACGATACCATATGGAAAAATAAATACATAGGGGTCGAGGTTAAGTCAAGAATATACAAGGCTGTCGTCAGAGCCATAATTACCTACACCGCAGAAACCAGACCGGATGCAGCAAAAACAAAAAGATTCTTGAAAACAGGCGAGATGAAAATCCTCCATAAAATCACAAGTAAAACGCTGCTAGATAGAGAACGAAGCGACAACATAAGACATTCTTTGACCAATTCGAAATTGGTCAAAGAATGCATAGAGAAGCTGAATAAATTAGGCAAAGAAAACAAAGTCCTCCTACACTGGGTGCCTGCTCACCAAGGGATAGAAGGCAATGAAAAAGCAAATAATCTAGCTAGGAAAGGAGCGAACACTCCACTAACTGGACCAGAACCGTTCTGCTTTCCAAGTGGTAACCAACTCAAGGCGGAACTCAAGAACTTGGAAGATTCCATCCGCAACCTGGAATGGAAATCTTGCAATGGTCTAAGACACTCGAAGAAGTTTCTGAGGGCTTATGATCAAAAAAAATCACAGATCTTCCTGGGTCTGAGTAAGAACAATCTTCGGATTGTCACGGGGTTTTTAACAGGACACTGTCTCCTCAATGAACACCTCAGTAGATTGAAACTAAGAAGAAACGGCGAATGCAGATTCTGTGGGGAAGATGGTGAAACACCAGTACACCTTATCACTGAGTGCGCCGAGACGACAACCATTCGTGCCATGAATTTTGGTACGACTGATATTGGAGATGGAGAACTACCCTCTATAAAACCGTCCCAGATACTGGCTTTTGTCAAAGCCCTGGGACTGTATGATGAGTTATGATTCAAGAAAGGGGGACACAATGGATCTGTGAGGTCGAAGTGATTAACCCCCCTCCCACTCATTCTAAATTCTAAAAATTCTAACATAAGACAAACATGCAAGGTGGATAACATTAATGAATGGGTATTGAGCAGAAGACGCGAATGGAATGAACATATAAGCCGAATGGACGAGGGAAGAATAGTAAGGTCAGCTCGAGACAAATGACCACTGGGAAGAAGAGGTACGGGAAGGCCAAGAAAAAAATGGTGTGATAACCTTACCATCGATTGAAACTGTAGGCATGATGTGAAGAATCAATAGTCAATCTGCCTAATATAGAGTAGGAAGAAGAAGATTTTGCAATTTTTTCAATTATTGCTCCTTACTACTTTCTGATGCCATGTTATAAATATTCGCTTGGTACTTGAAGAAAAATGGAAAAATATAACACATTATATTTGCAGCCTCATTAACAGTATGATCCGACATCTATAGACAGTTATAGCACCCGGGGAGGCAATACAAAGTAATAGAGTATTTTTTCAAGTTTTTTGTTTGTTTGTACACTTAGTTATTAGTTATTTTTTTTTAATATCCTTAGTTTTATTAGTGTTACTAATATTTTTTAAACCCAAGACTATATCGTTAATTTTTAACTTTATAAAAATGTTATATAAATTTTTAACGTTATAAAAAACTTTAAACTTTCATATCGAGTTCGAATAAGTGTCGATATGACATTACCACAATAGTCTCCAAAACCACCTCTTGATATTAAAAAAGAATTATCATAAAGTAATCATAGTTTAAAAAATTGCAAATTGTTAGTGGCAAGTTTATTTCACCCTTAAACTAGCCAAGACATGTGGTGACATGAGTAAAAAACAAAATGATCAGGAGATATATGGTTCTGATCGAAAAATAATGTTTTAAGAAAATTTACTCGCGAAATTATTGCACAGGATATTTTAAAGTTAAGATGAAAAACAACCCTTCAATTAACCCTGTATAACAAGACAAATACTAAAGTTTATGAAAAACTGAGTTTATGAATTAAAGTAGATACATTTATATATACAGTTTGCTAAAAAATCATGAAAACAGGGCTAAAAGTAGAGAATGTAGATTGTAGAATGAGTAAGAGGGGGGGGGGGTTAATCACTGCGACCTTAAATATCTATTGTGCCCCCCTTCCTTGAGTCATCACACAGTATATAACCCATCACACCGCTGTTGTAGAGGGGACATGGTATTTCTCATCTTCCTCAGACAATAGTTCTTCCTCCGAGGGTACACACCCTTCCACGGTTGGAGTTTGGCCCTCTGTGCCGCCCTTCACAGTCGAGGAGCTTGCCTCCGGCTAAGGAACCCGTGAGGTGGAAGCTGGAGGATCTGTCTCCATTTTCTCCACCTCTTTAACTTGATCTCTCCTTAGACCTGATACCGGTATTGTCCCGTATCTATAATAGAGGATACTAATAATCCCTCTTTCTCTATTGTCTCCTTGGATTTGAGGTTAATTCCTATTGTGAGGACCTGACCATGACCCTCCTCCCTCGAGTTGATGACTCGCCAACTCGATGTCCTTACATTGAAGTTCTGACCCTGGATAAAGGCTTAGCAGGTAGGTGGTGTCTTTTCCCTTGCTCCTCGGCACAAAGACCGTGATGGTCGCCCCTTTAGGGATGTTTTCTCCCTTCACTGCAACCAGTTCCGGCCCTTTCCAATTAAAAGGCTAAAAGTAAAAAAAAATAACACTTTAAACTTCACGAAAAAATTATCCGTTGCGTTTTTTTGCATCTGCGTGTATATTCCCAAAATTTTTTTTAACAGATTATAATCTATTTAATCTGAAAACTTAAGTATCTATAATTGTATGTTAAATAAGTAACTATTATATTTATTTATTATATTCATTAATAAAAGTATTGGAATAAAATTGAAAGAATTATTAAAACATAATATGTAGGTACGTGTGTATAAAGCTGAATTATCCATAAACCCCATAGCGTAGCATATAATATTCTTTCGATTCTTATTTAATTTTACGCATATTTCAAGGTTAAAGTGTCTATTGACTTTGAAGAAATAAATGTTACATAACACGTGTAACTTTTGAGGTCAGTTAGAAAATATCGCCTATTTTCGATCATTTCACTCGATTTTAATTTATTATACATGCTGTCCCGTGTAACCATGAATACAATAATTATTCCTAATTATTAGGAATAAAAAAGTCAGAAAAAAGAAAATGATGGCTTCTACACTCAGATGCAAAAAACGCAACGGAGAAATTTTTGGTCAAATTTAAAGTGTTATATTTTTATTATTTTTAGCTTTATTTTCATAATTTTTTTAGCAAGCTTTATAGAACTATCAACTTTAATTTCTTATTTGGCGTATTATACAGGGTTAATCGAGGAATTGTTTTCTTTCCCTAACTCTAAAACACCCTGTGCAATAATTTCGTGTGTAAATTTTCCTAAAATAAAATTTTACGGTCAGAACTATGTCCCCGAGCATTTTGTTTTTTGGATCATGTCAATACATGCCTTGGTCGATTTTTAAGAGCGAAATGAACTTGGCATGAATAATTTGCAATTCTTTCAATTATCATTTCTTTTTGAAGTTATTTTTCAATATGACAAGGCAGCCTTTGCTGATTATTATGAACTACATACTACTATGAACTGCCTATCATGTTCGACGTTTGGGAAATGCTTGGCAGGAGGGTTAGAGGTTGCGAGGCGCTACCAGCTTTAAGCTGGATTTATAAACTCGGGAGTTGAGGTTCAGTTGCCGTTCAAAATGTTCAACGCTATGAAATGAACGCGCGCATTTATAAAGTCAGTTGGTCGAAAAGTTAGCAGTTCGTTTTACGTTCAGTGGAGTTCAAAGATGGTCAATGTTTATGTCGGCAGTTGCGGGCAGTTGGTGACCGCTGGCGACGTTCGGCGACAGCCAATGAATAAGCGCCTGTCGATCACGTAAAGCACAGTACGCCGATGCATTGGAAAATGACCCTTATTGTTGTTTCATTATTTCTGTTAATGTGATGTTTATATTTTGCGTAATCGTGGATTACTGTCTTTGAACTTTGACAAATACCAGAAGTATTTTTAAATCGAAAGAAAAACGTTCGAAATTTTCACAATTCCAAACCTAACCTACAACCGAGACTGACAGTTTATAAATGCAAAAATATTGAACCTCAACTGCCGCGAACATCCAACTGCAACTGAACCTCAACTGAACGCCAACTTCCGAGTTTATAAATCCAGCTTTATTAAATGAACTTCACTTTGTTCTTAAATAAGAATGGGAAAGCATGACGCAATATGATATATGCAGCCTCAATGACAGTATGAACGGACGTATACAGGCAGTTATAGCAGCAAAGGCAATACAAAGTATTAGGTTATTTAAAAAAATCTATTTGTATACTTGAGTAATACAGATTTTTTTTCTTAATATCGTTATTAGTTCTGTTATCGTTATTAATGTTTATTAAAACCAGGACTGTATCGTTAGTGTTTAACTTTTTTTTTAATTTACTACAGAGTTTCTCCAATATAACGTAATATGATGTTACGACAATAGTCACCAAAACCATCTCGTCATATTAAAATTATTACATCAAAATGTAATGATAATCGAAAAAAATTGCAAATTGATCGTGATCAGTTCATTTCGCTCTTAAAAATTAACCAAAACATGTATTGACATGAATCAAAAAATAAAATGCTCAGAAGTCACGTTTCTGACTCTAATTTAAGCAATTAGTTTCGTGTATTTAACGTAGGTAGGTAAATGAAAATATCAAATAAAATAAATCACCAAATCAAGTTATTTGAGTTGGTCCTAAAAAGTTTCCAAAAATCAGTAAATGAATTAAGTAATCGGATGTAATAATAATAGCAATAGGAATCAGTTGATAATTGTATAGGTACATCTTTTACAATCAAAATTTTAAATATATGTATAATAACGTCTGTTCCAAAAATTGCAAAGATGATAATTTCTAAGCAAATAGTAATTTTATTTAAATTTCTTTCGTTATTATACAGGTTCTATACTCGGTTCTATATTAGGTGATCCATTTGAAAATTCAACTTTTAAAGAGTTTTGTTTTAATAACCATTTTTAAAATAAAGATAGCTAATTTTAAAAGATAAATAGAAAATAAATTATAGCTAATTAACTTTTATCTAAAAATCGTTCCTTCTCTCATTCGGCAGACTTTACATACTGAGTTGATTAAGAAATTATAGTTGCTAATATTCATATAACTAAATATTAATTTATATTTTAGATGAAGAAAGATTAATGACCTTCCTTAGAGGATGTAAATTTTCATTAGAGAAAACCAAAAGAAAATTGGATATGTATTTTACAATGAGGACCGCCTGCCCAGAATTTTTCAGCAATAGAGACATCACATCTCCAGATTTGCAACGAATTGCTAAACTCGGGTAATAATCCCCTGCATCATGATATCTTTTAAATTATATTTCAGTTATATTCTTGCATCTATCTTTTATATTTTTTTTCTATTTGCAAATTATTACAAGTGTTATACCCCAGTCAAACTAGTTAAAAAAGGCCCATCGGTGGAAAAAATTCCCACAGTTTTGAAAATGATTTTAAACGATTCTTCTAAACTTGGGCTGATATGTGTCAAAAGTCCCCGAAGATAGAAGATGAGCTCGAGGCGTGGGAAGGAGTTAAATGTCATTTTTTCACTTTTTTGTTTAAATCTCGGAAACTATGACATCTAACGAAAAACGCTCTATATATAAAAATAAAGCTGACAAAATTCTCTATAAAAATGATTCAATAAATTTTTATTCCCGGACTTATGGTTTCCGAACTATACCCTTCATAAATTTGGATACTAAATAAAATGGCATATTCAAAATCCGTACAAACATTTTGTTTCATTGCACGTTTTTCGTTTAAAGAGCGTTGAAGAAATACGATATCCATGATTTTTTAAGTATTAAGTATAACTTTCAGTATAGGTATACTGTGATTTTATAAATTTTAGACGTGATGCGTTTACATAAATCACTTCAGGGAACCAGACCTAAAATTCTAATGCCTCAAATGTTTCGTGCTACTTTAACATTAGAAAACTCTACTGCAGGCGGTGATAGAAATCTTCAACTCTGAACAATCATGGCCATGGCCATAAACCATGATTTTTGGTTTTCGTATACTTTCTACAATATTTGCAGCTGCGCTAAATACTAATAATAAAAAATACAGTAAAGCAGGCATGCATTAATTTTTAACTTGCAGTTATTGTTAAGTTCTGTGTGCACTAGTACTCTCCAAAGGAAGACAAAATGTCGAAAAGTAACATAAGGACCCCTTAATATTACCATTATTAATACGAAAGGTTAAATTTAGACTAATTGGATTTTAAATGCGAAAATGCATTATGAGAGATAGTGTTAATTTTGTCAACCCTGTAACTCTTAAAAGGTGAGACCTATGAAAAAACGCATTCAACCAATTTTGTAGAGAATTTTCTGAGCTTCAATTTTCTGTATAGGGTATTTTTTCGTAGGCGTCATATTTTCCAAGATTTAAGTTAAAAAATCATAAAAATGACATTTAACCATTCCCCTCTCCCCGAGCTCATCGTCTATCTTCGGGGACTTTTGACATATATCAGCCCAAGTCCAGAGAAATCATTTAAAACCATTTTCAAAACTGTGGGATTTTTTTCCACCGATTTCTCTAATTTGACAGGGCTATTACTCTAATCGAAAGCAATAAAGTTCAAAATAAATCAAATATTCAAACGTTTTGAGATCATTGAAATATTTTAGGACGATTCCGCCGTTGCCAGGTTTAACTCCAGATGGTAAGAGGGTTGTAGTACTTAGAGGAAAAGACAAAGATATAGATACCCCACCACTAGCCGACGTTGCAAAATTAGTACTGATGATTGGTGATGTTCGACTAGCTGCTGAAGAAGTTGGAGTTGCCGGTGACGTGTACATCCTCGACGCGACCGTGGCAACTACATCGCATTTTACCAAAGTATCTCCAGCTATGGCCAAAAAGTTTTTAGTCTGCGTACAAGTAAGTTTAATTTGTATTTTATGCAAAAAATATAAAAACAAATTTGCGTTTCTTAAGGGCCGTTCAGACTCTCAGTTAATTTGCACACACCAAACTGCACCAATATTAAACTTATAAATCTTATAACACTCACCCATAGATAAAGAAAATAAATTTAGATTGGAATGCCCGTCAAAATATATAATTGTTTGCTCTAATGTTTTTAGTGTCTTTCCTGGTCGGTTCAAAGATGCCCAAATAGTATTTTTAATCATATCTCAATTTTTCCAAATGGAACGAGGATAGATACCATACAGTCCGAGTAAAATTTTCGTTACGAACCGCAAATTATAATTTCAAATAAATCATATGCGAAAATGTCAAAAGTTGACATATATGTCATTCTATTCAGAGTGTTATTTTCTATCGAATAAAATAAAAAAAATACCGAGGGTGTCATTTAAATATCAAAAGTTGTAGTCTTTTCCGGTGAAAGAGGAAGTGACCGAAAACAATTGAATACGTCAATCACAGTCCTAATTTATGTTATATACTAACCTACCATCGTTTACCTACCTATCTCATTTTTTTAACTGAAAAAATAAAAAAATTATAGGGGTGAGCCACTTTTGAGACGCACCCAATATAATTTTCTGTATACAAATACAAATGTTTACAATTGCTGAAACAATTTAATAGGGCGTAAATTTAGTAGCCAAAACATCATTTTTATTCGTATTTCCTGTAAAAGGTCATATTTGAAACATCAAATAAGATAAATTTGATATACTCTTTTAAAGCAAAAGAGATCTGTCTAACCCAAAACGTGTGCAGTATATTCATATTTATATTTTCCCTCAAAGAAATTGGAGAAATTGCAGAGTCAGGTCAAGCACTATTTTCCAAATGGAATTTATTGAAGAATGCTTTTCCATATATGAGAAAAATGAAATCACTTTGATGTAAAATGGGTGGCTACTAAATGTAAACATGTTTATGTAGGAAAATAGTTTGTGATATTTATGGCAAACAAAACGAAATATAATTAAATAGTATTATTACAGAGAACTGGAAGGGAAGGGAACTGGAAGAACTATTAGGCCATTGTCTCCGTTAATACTGTCTTTACATTTATTAATTTTGAGGCTCTCATATGCATCTAATTGCCTATATAATGTTCTTTAAATCTAGTTAATATTGATCTTCTAGTTTGTCCAACATATTTCTGATTACAATTTCATGAATACCCAACCTTTTCAGTGGAGGTGTTTTATCTTTAGGATTACTTAATAATTGTTGTAATTTATTATTAGCACTATACACAAGTTTATCATTACATTCTTAAAAATTATTTTTAAAACACTGGATAACTCCCTATCAGACGGTATTGGAATAAATTTTGACGTATCTTTCTCCAATTGAAAAGTCGAATTTCAGAAATCACAAACTTATACCTACGTTTTCGAATTATTTTATGAACTAATCAAGAAACATATTCATTATACTCCAGCTACATTCCTAATGTATTTTTTTCTACTTCATGTCTTTCGTTGGTAAGTGGAAAACTAAGTAATCTACTAACAAAGAATTTTAAACTAGCCATCTTATGTTCAACACTATGATATGGCTCATTAGGAATATATCTGCATTTTGTATTATATTTTCTATAGATATCAAATTCCAGGCAATTAGTAGTATTTCTAATGACATATTATTTTTTAAGGAAGCTTATCCAGTAAAATTAAAAGAAGTTCATGTTGTGAACGTGTCTCCCATAATCGAAACCATTGTACAGTGGGTGAAACCGTTTGTGAAGGAAAAAATAAGAAACAGAATTCATCTCCACTCGAATTTTGAAAGTTTACACAAAATGGTGCCCAAAGAGATTCTTCCGGAGGAGTATGGTGGAACTGCAGGGAAACTTCAAGATTTTCATGGTAATATATTCTAATTACAATTAACATGTTGTAATTTTTTGTTGTAATAAACAAACAAAATACAAGAAGCGGAAAAGGGGGCCAAAAAACCCTACATATATGCTTATTCTCTGCATTAAGTTCATCAGACTGGTGGTCAGGCCGCTGGTTTTAATTTTGGCGGTACGATCTGTGATTGTCACAGCTACCGCTAGATGGAGGGAGCGTCTAGCACTATCCATAGTAGTACGTTTTGTACTCAAATGCTATTCTTTGCTTTTCGTTTTATCAGATTGATGGTTACAGCAAAGTCGGTCTGACAATGGAGATAAATCTCCGAAACCGGTCGTCGAATGGCTGTTCCCTTCAGTCTGATGAACTTAATGCATAGAATAAGCATATATGTAGGTTTTTTTGGCCCCCTTTTCCGCTTCTTGTATTTTGTTTGTTAACCCTAATATAGTTTGAAAGAGAATTTAAATCTGCTTCGACTTATTTAAAAAAATACATACATAATGTTGTATTTGAAATAACTAAGTTTTTATGTAAAATAACTATTTAAAATAGACTAGCAATTCTTAATACCCCTGTATACATTTAAGGAAGCATTCAGATTTTTTAGTAAAGTTTATTTCTCTGGGTAAAAGTCAGCTCAAGAATTAATTCTGAAAAGTAATGTACAAGGTGTTGACAAACTTTTTTATTATAGCCATGTATATTTAAATATCTTTGAATATCTCAAAAACCAAAGTTTTTATTTATTTAAACATATTAAATCCTTATAATAAATGCCTTATTTTATGCCCAAGAATCCAAAAATGAAATTAAATACCGTATGTTCCATAAGAAAAAATATAACTTTGGTATGGATCATGGTTCCGACCCTGTACAGGGTGGCACGAATTCGACGCTCATCATTGGGATTTCGGAAACCGTAAGAGATACAGGATCGGTTAAATGGAGGCAAAGTTACGCAATTTGATGCTCAATAAAATGCCGTATTGCTTTTCGAAAAATTCCGATTACTTCCGAATATATTCGAAAAAGAACGGAATTTTCAATTTTATTTTGCTATTGTTTCCTTGGCTTTATTTGTTGATAACTTAAAATAAAAAACACATTTTCATGGCCACTTTTTCTGCTCTATAACTCTGTGTTATTAAATATTGACTCTGACGTTTCGGCTTCTGGTAAAAATTAATTTAAATACGGACCTGATTTTTTCTGGTTCCATCACCTCAATATTTTATGCAAAAAAAATCACCATTTATCCTAAATCCCAATGATGAGCGTCGAATTCGAGCCACCCTGTACATTTCAAAATAATTTTAAATTATGCACATTGACTCTCTACATATACCCATAAAACATTTTGTTTCTACATATTTTCGTTTTCGTATAATCAACGAATGAGGTGCGCCACCCTGTGTAGGAATCTTCAGTATTATTTCAAAAGTATTACTTACTCTTAAAGATAAAATAAGACTAAAGACTAATATACTCCAATATAAAATAATTCTAGATGAGATTAATTATGCGTTTGCGCTTGCGATGCGTTTGGCTTGTAATAAATAAAAAATAATTTGTTACAGATCAGTGGATGAAGAAATTGGAAGAATATGGTCCCTGGTTTAAAGCACAAGACAATATCAAGGCTGACGAATATAAACGTCCCGGCAAGCCGACCAACTACGAAGATTTGTTCGGTTTGGATGGAAGTTTCAGACAACTGACAATCGATTAATTTTTTTTGCAATAATTTTATACATAAATGTTTATACCGTTAATATTTTTAGCTAATTGTTTACATTTTTTGTACTAGAAAAAATTCGATAAGTTTAAAAGAGTTGTTTTTGTTACCTATCAATAACTTATTTACTTAATAATGAATAATGAGATTGCAATAAATAATTAATAAGTTATATATTACTGCATAATGTTTCCACTTATAATAATTATTATCAATTAATAAGCTGTCCTAAATTATCAGAAATAACTAGATATTTATACAGGGTCGCTTTTATGGTATGGAAACGGTCGATTATTAGGTAAAATATAGGAGGTACCGCAAAAAGTTAAATACAAAAGTTATAGGATTTTTAAATATCTATTAATGAGTAATAAATTTCAGTATACAGGGTCGTTAGTAAAGTCGTGGCATATCAGAGTTATTTTTTTTTAAATTGAACCCCCTGTATATTAATACATATTTCAATTCTTCCTTCAATTCTAAGCAAAAATCGAAATATGCCCAATGTACCCCAAAGAAACCATTTCCGAGTTATTGACTTTTGAAAATATCACTTAAACAATTCGATTTAATTAATTTCGATGTGTTTGGTTTGATTTAATGATGCCATTCTGCCGAAAATGTGATGCTGTTGTCATGCGTTTTTAAATTCCAATTAGTTACTAGTAAATTTAAGTATACAGGGTCGGTCATAAAGTTGTGTATCATGAAACTTTATTTATTGCATATTTCAATAATTGCGTTAAAATTGAAGGAAGAATTATTCTTCCTTTAATTTTAAACAATAATCGTAATACACAATGTACATAAATGGAAGAATTGAAATGTTAAACGAAAATTTTGAAATTTCCAGACTTGCTATACTCTCATTTTATGCATCTATAAATGCTAACTTAATAAACGACAATAATTCTTGTCTTGAAAATCAATTTCTTGTCTTAAAATTCAAGACAAGAAATTTTCAAAGTCTTGTCTTGCAGATTTCTTAAATGGCAAAGTCTTGTCTTGCCTTGCAAGACTCTTGAAATTTCTTATACTGAAAATTTTATTTTGTGACAAAAAGGTAATAATATTTCTATATTTTAATTAATAGAAAGCGTCGTATACAAAATGTAATACGGAAAAATGAACAACAACGATGCTAATTTTAGCAAAAAAATATTAACGGACCGCAAACGAACTACGTCAACTCGTCCGTTTGACGAAACAGGAGCCATTACCAAATAAAAGCTGAATAAGAATGTACGGAAAATTCATGCTAGAGTTACTATTTGCGCTATTTGATACTACTTTTTGTTCGCGGAGCAATTTCGTGCATGAAAAGGAGTACCAAATAGCGCAAATAGCGTGCTCCACGAACCCGCCATTAGTTTCAACTACCTTTATTTTTTTTATAATACCATTATACCAATGTACTTTTGTGTATAATACCAATTACCAATATACGGTTCGTTGCCTCGACTTTATTTTATTTCATTCTCAACTCTAAAACACTGGCTATGATGACTGGTCAATATTAATGCCGGGTTTATACAATATTTGCATAAGTCGTAATCATAATCAGTGGCGGACTAAGTCTGTCGGGGTCCCGGGGCGGCGAAGCTAAATGTGGCCCCGGAAGTACCAGAAGTTGACAGCAACTTTTTTATTTTAAATGGGTGACCCCATTTTTTATTACGTACTTAAATTCTCTGTAAAATTTTATGAATTTTGATATTAAACACTCTATAACTAACGTTAACCGTTTTTGAGAAAAAAAAAATATTTATAATTTTTGGAGGAAAAAAACTGCCTGTCAAAAATATGTATATAGCCTAAACGTCAAATTTAGTGATTGTCACAGCCACCGTACCATAAAGAGAAGACATGTGGCTATCTATGTCAAAAATTAAATTGTCCGAATGTCTTATAATAATGGCCGCAGCTGTCATGGAATTGAGCGATTAAAAAATTATCATAAATCATTTTGTTTTTCAAATGGAAATCCACTTTTTTTATTTCACTCGTGAAAAGGCTTTCGTTACTTTCGTTTTTAAAATTTGTTACTTTTTGACTATACATGTTCTTGTACCTAAAATAAATTTTTGTTTTTAACTTATTTAAGATTTAGCTTTAAAGCGTATATTTTTCTTGATTTTAGCCAATAGCCTATGACAGCATATTATCGATCAGCATTTCCAAGCTAACATTGCGCTGTTTTTTTTTTCGATCGTACGGTATATTATTAAAATATCAACTATTAGATATCACTAAAGAACGAAAATACGAGATATATTTATATAAATACACTTCTTAAACTTTTAAGCAGCAGTAGTTATAATATAGGAAATTCAAATAATTAATTTTCTAACAGATGGAAATAAATTGACTGACTGTTTGACACTTAATGTCAACGGAAGCTAGAAAAAATCAAGGAAAATATACGTTTTTAAACTAAATCTTAAATAACTTAAAAACGATTTATTTTCGATATAGGGATATGTCTAGTTAAAACGTAACGAATTGGAAAACCTTTTCACTAGTGAAATAAAAAAGTGGGTTTCCATTTGAAAAAAAAAAATATTTATAATAATTTATTAATCGCTCAATTCCATGACAGCTACCGCCATTATTATATGACATTTGAACAATTTAATTTTTGAAATAGATAGTCACATGTCTTTTCTTTATGTCACAGGGGCTGTGATAATCACTAAATTTGACTTTTAGGGCTGTACAAATTTTTTTGATAGGTAGATTTTTTCGTCCAAAAATTTCAAATATTTTTTTCTTAATAATGCTTCCAGGGAAATACCGCGACAAAATATTATTTTATTATATTAAATATTGATAATTAAGTAAATATGTGTTTCCATTTATACTGTTTATAGTTGGCGTATACGTATGGTTTGCATACTCCACCTACAAACTGCTTTATAACTACTGAACACATATTGGCTTTGTTTGCCAGTTGAATAAAAAATTACTTAATAACATTCGGAGGCCCCCTAAAAGACGGGGCCCGGGGCGGACCGCCCCTTCCGCCCCTCCCCTTAGTCCGCCACTGATCATAATCACAGTCTTAGTCATCGTCATAATCACAACGCAATTTTAATGTGCGTTTATAGAACATTTTCATAACCATAATTTTTATCTCAGTGAAGTTGGATAACATAATTAAGTATAGGCTAACTTCATGGTAGATGTCAACAGCTTTATAAGAAGTGGATAGTTTTTTAACTTTTATGATTATGACTATGATTGTGATTACGACTATGTAAATGTATAAACCCGGCATAACTTGCGCAAAGACCTAGTTATCAATAAAGTGTATCATTTCTAACTTTCAAGAAATCTTGAATTCAAGAAATCTTGCAAGACTCTTGAAATTTCTTGCATATTAAAGTCTTGTCTTGATATTCAAGACAAGAAATTTTGAAAGTCTTGTCTTGAATTTCTTGCAAGAGTCTTGGTCTTGCAAGACTTTTTCAAGACTCTTGTGCAACACTTAATAATCTATTCTATTCTAGCATGCAAATTTAAATATCTTTCAATATCTCAAAAACCAAAGAGTTTAAACATATTTAACCCTTATAATAAATACCTTTTTTTGGGCACAAAAATCCAAAAATGAAATAAAATACCGGGTGTTCCGTAAGAAAAAATATAACTTTGGTATGGATCTTAGTTCTGAAACACCCTGTATGTTTCAAAATAATTTTAAAGTGTGCACATTGCCTCCTTACATATACCCCTAAAATATTTTGTTTCAATATCTTTCCATTTTCGTATAATCAACAGAGGCGAATGAGAATATAGAGGGTGGCGCACACCCTGTATAAAGTTTTTTTTTAATTTTAGCTGGAATAATAAATTATAATAGAAGTTAGACATTCTGAAGATATCAAAAATATTTACTTTTTATTTTTATTTTTTCCAAATTATACTTCCTAAAACTTTTAGATTAGGTATACTAAGGGCTGGCAAAGGTTAGTCTTGGGTCGAGATTTCCGTATGTAAGAAGAGTACAATGCGTTTATAATGTACTGAACAAAGAGATGACAGTAAACACGTTGCCAAACGTATGAAATAAACCGAGAAACTGTGCACATCGCTAAGAGACGTGGAAGGGGATATGGCAGATTTGTCGCAGTTTACCGGTCGACCCAATCAATACCTCTGTCAGTACTTAAAGTTCTAGGGAAAGGTGTACGTCATGCGTTCAGCTTCGCGATTTAATTACATCTCGTGATATTTAATTTGTTTATTTATTAACGAGTCGTTGTAATTTTCCCTATAGCTTGAATTTTTTTAAGTGCAAGCTAGAAACACTTGCATTTTTGGTAAAAATAAGTGGCATTGAGTGGGTGTTCGATAGTGGTCGCGCTATTAGAACTATGAATTCAAAAATCGATATCTCGAAATCTATTAGAAATAATAGATTGTAGTTTTTTCAAGAACTTTGTTAATATTTCTGCTGTATTTTCTTTGTAGACAGTATGTGAAAATCTTTATCAATAAAAAAATTACACGATTGCTGAAAATTGCTCTAAAAGTAAATGGATGGACTGTTTACAATTTTTGAATGGAAAAAACAACCTTATCGAATTTTTCTTATGCAAACATATTGTAAAATATCCGATCTTGAAAATAAAAAAAAAGTTTCAATATCTAAAGTGGTTCTTGAGTTATGGCCTGTTATGTGTTATAAAGTTGAGTTTTTAAATTATCGCGATTACTGACGTTTTCTCGTTATAAAAAAATAAACCTTAACGATATCCTTATAATTCCATTTCAGATGCTCAGAAACATGTCTACTGATTTTATCTAGTTATCTTTTGAAAAAAAAGTCTTTTAAAAATAAGCGGTTTGCGATCGTGATTTTACTTTACTTGATAGGGAAAGGCGTATCGGCAACGCCGCAACAGCACACCGTCGCGCGTCGCGTCTGTCGGTCGCATTTCTCTCACTCCGACTTAATAAGATCCCTATGCGATTTACTTCCACACATGTAAATGCCGACCCAAAAGTAACAGTTGCCAGCACGGTATAATAAATATAAAAACAAGCTCCTCGACTGTGAAGGGAACTGAGAGCTAAACCCTAACTGTGAAA